TGGTTTTATAGTGCTAGCCCACTGAGATACCATGCCGTAGTGAAGCATGAATACCCCACTCAGACACATTATACGGACTCCGAGCCGACCAGTCCTTGTTGTACCCATTAATGCCGAGCGACAGGCAGGGACCAACAAGTACCATAATTTAACGTCTTTTGGTATGACGCGGTCGGGGATCGAACCCGCGACCTTCCGCTCTCCGGGCAGACGCTCTAACCACTACACCACGGAGGCGGTCCCACTGTATAAACTATAAAGCAAGAATATGCAATAATGTACCAGACAAACCAGAGGTTGATAGCATGAGCACCACTGCTACACAGTCCTATTGTTCAATGGCACATTTTGTATATAGACATCAATGGGTAATTGCCAATGATACTTCCTTAGTACACTGTGTGGCCTGGGGTGAGAAAATGTATGAATGTTCACTTTTAATTTTTTAGTTTGTTTGTTGTTTATGCCGCACTCAGAAAATAATCGAGTCTGGACCGAACAATCCAGTGATCAACAGCATGAGCACCGATCTACACATCACTGGTTCATCACTTATATTAGTGATGTTAGTCTCCATGATGTCCTTGTACTTCAAGTAAAGTACTAAACATAACACAGAAACAAAGGTGATAAATACCTTTACTTTATTGCCAAAAATAAGGAATGTTTGACCATATATGAATTTAACAAATACCATAAACAACAAGGATATTATAACATCATTAAATCTGTTACAATAAATGATCTATTATACAGTGTAAACTAACACATACATGCTATAATTGGTCAGTACACAGGCTCAAAGTCTGGAATGTACCTTGGCTTGCTATGGGTACGGAATGTGTCAATTTGTATTGGCAAAAATATTCATAATTCCAAATTTGTTGACAAAAATTTCAAAATTAGAGAATTATTAGCCAGTGAATTAAATTTTTTCGTTCATGTCATTCTACATTCCAAAATTGAAAGGGTTAAGTTATTTCTCATTTCCCACATAAAAATGGATATTTTCCAAACACACTGGTCATCAAGTACACAGATGTGGAATGTGTTCCTGGTATCAATAAAAGATAACCACATTGCAGGAAACACAACTAGAGCAAATATAACATGTCAACTTCATACTGAGTTTGTCATTTCCTGGGAACAATACTTGATAGAGGTTATCTGTCAAATCAGGGTAGGACTGTGTAGTGTTTGTTCAAAATTAAAATTTTCCATTGTTTAGATTATTTTCAGCTCTTCACTGGCAAGGGGTGGTTTAGTGTGGTCAAATACTTCATACCATTAGCATCACTGTCACAGTTCAAGGAGCGTTAGACACAAAGAATACATACATAGATCTAACAAGGAACAAACAATAAACAGCATTATAAGACAAAATACATTAAAATGTTGGTTATCAGTATTATGGTTTTATCACAGAAGGTCAGCTCAACAGGGGCGGATACAGCTTTTTGAGAAAGGTGGGGTGCACACTTCATTTTCACGAGAGTTTCAATGGTCATTTTATAAACATACAGGACAAAAAGGCAGGGGGTTGGGGGGTGCACCCTGCATCCCCCCTCTGGATCCGCCTATAGTTCAATATTAGAGGAAAGGTTAAACAGATGATACACCTATACCACATTGGTGCTGACACACCTGGACCTATAATCGGAAGGAAATGGGATTCCAACCTGCTGAAGCTGGCACCTCCAAGGAAGGGACTCGCAAAGAAAACAGAGTTGCCTTGACTCATGAGCATGATGCTCAGTGCAGTTTCCATGACAACCTATCCTGTCGTCACATACTTCTCATAAATACAGGAACAGGATGGGTACAAAATATTTTTAAAAAGGGCATCGATTGTCAACTTCTGAAAGCACCAAAAATTACTCAAACAGTATTTACCCAAAAAGTAGGATGAACAAATATGTAAAATATTATCTAAGAACACCAGTCACCTTCCGAAAACATGTCACCAAACATCTACGTCTACAAAGTTAATCTAAATATTGTGTGTTAATGTAAGCTAATTGAGAGCTGGTCTAATCTTATTCTTTTGCTTCAAATATTTGGATCGTATCTTTGAGTTATCCAAGAATAGACGGCCATAGACCGATAATAACAGATTTGAGTGAGTGAGTGAGTATGGTTTTACGCTGCTTTTTGCAATATTCCAGCAATATCACGGCGGGGGACACCAGAAATGGGCTTCACACATTGTACCCATGTTGGAATTCAAACCTTTAACCATTAGGGATCTCTTTGGCAAATTTGATGAGTGAAGCTGAATTTTTCAACCACTAGGCCAGCCCCACTGCCCCAAAACAGATCTGAACCCCTCAAGATAAGAAAAATTTTAAGAAATGAGGAAATCAAGTCAATTTCTTCTCTGCCTTTTGCTATCTAGAGGGGATATAACCTCTCCGACTTGGTCATAGCTGATCTGCATTCCCATGGAGTTTGGTGTTTAGATTACTTAAGTTATTTTGGGCTCTTTTATTTTAAAAATGCAGTTGAGTTCAAAATTAGCTGTTTCAAATTGTCAAACTCAGTTTGAAATTTGAGTAAAAACTTAAGTTTGGGGACAGAACAGGGGACAATAGGGAGACACAGTTACGAAAGTTATCAGTTGAGTCATTTCTTCATTTACATGTATTAGACTTATGACAATGGAGACCCAGCTGATTTTGGTGTTTTCTTGGTAAGTTTTTCTCCTTTGTACATGATTTTTTCAGATGGCAACAACCCTACAGAATATATAAAACAGCAAAGTTATGATGGGTCAAGCATTTGCTAAGTGTTATAATTTCTCCTGCAGTCCTTGAACTCCCAATACCTGAAAGGGATACACAGAAAAAGTACATCTGATAACTTTCATAACAATTTGAAAATGGTTTAATATATTTCTATAGCACCACTTTAATAGCCAAAATATTTACAGAAATCATTCTAGCTGGGAGATACAACATACCACATCAAGCCATACAGACGAATACGAAGATGACGACATCAACCATGAACTATCAATCGGTGTCTATAAAAGACCCAAATCCTCACCACTGAAATATTGAAATCTTGACTACAGAGATAGGAATTTCCAAAATATTTATTTTTCTTTGTCTGGCCCGGATTCATATTGCTTAAAAAACACCCTAAAATCTTCTAAATTATTAGTCCAGCTATCAAGGCTTGTGGTTTAGCATGACAAACTAATCATAGTGATTTGAATGACCTGAGTGAGTTTAAATTTCCTCCGAGTAGTGTACATGGACTAACTGTAATAATTGTGTGTGCTTCTACATATTTGAGACGTATACATGGCAAACTATAGCAACATGAAAGAATAAAGTGTGCTTAACTTATTTTGAGTAGCATACAAGTGAGTGAGTGAGTGAGTTTAGTTTTACGCCGGACTCAGCAATATTCCAGCTATATGACGGCGGTCTGTAAATAATCGAGTCTGGACTAAACAATCCAGTGATCAACAGCATAAACATCGCTCTGCGCAATTGGGAACTGATGACCTGTGTCAACCAAGTCAGCGAGCCTGACCACCCGATCCTGTTAGTCGCCTCTTACGACAAGCATGAGTTACTGAAGAACAATATTCTAACCTGGAGTAGCATACAAGGAATGACAGGTGTATTATAGAAATATTAAACAATTGTGCATGCTTATTGTATATTTTGAGTTTTAGGTATGGCACAACATATCAAATATAATATGATTGTGTTTGTTGTTTAACCCCACACTCAGCAGTATTCAAGCTGTATGGCGGAGGTCTGTACACATTCAAATCTGGACTAAATAATTCAGTGATCAACATCACGAGCAAACTATAACATGACACAATAGTTACATGAGTATGGTTTATGGTTTTCGGCCGCTGTTAGCAATATTCCAGCAATATCACGGCGGGGACACCAGAAATGGGCTTCACATATTGTACCCATGTGGGGAACAGAACCTGGGTCTTCCGCGTGACGAGCCACTGCTTTAACCACTAAGCTACCCCACCGCCCCTTTAGTAATATGAAATAATGTATTGATGTCTGTTGAGTCCTTTATACAATCAGTGAGGCCACTGCTAAAGCTGGAATACTGCTGACTTCAGCATAATTAGAGAGCAGCCAATGAGCTACGAGTATCACAGATTATCTGTCACAACCAATCTCCCTAAAGTCAGATCTTTACTCCGATCATCATCCCTGTGTGTGAGTGAGTGAGTGAGTTAAAATTTAACGTCACATCGGCAATATTTCAGCCATATCGTGACGACATCCCTGTGTGTGAATATGAGGACACGTCAGTAGAAGATCTGGCTAATTGTTAAGTAAATGTTGTTTTCGCTAATCAGCAATATTCCACATACATCACAGAATCCTGTAAATAATGTCGAATCTCATCAGGTAATATTAATATAAGAACCAGCAGGCACAGGTTTCATAAATAGTAGTTGCCATTTACGTTACACCTATATCCAAGATATACTACTCCACTTTGCCAGGGACATTTTAATTATTCCCATGACACATAAACATGATTCTTACAATATGTGAGGTGGTTTATATTCAATCAGAATAACATATCTGAAAATTTCCTATCAAAAGTTGAGTGGCATACATTATCGACAGTAAGTACAATCATTCCAAGTTCATAATTTCATTAAGCCAGACCAATTTTATTTCTTGATTCACAGATCCGCCTGTCATATTTTTTCAAGAATAAGAATAAAAATAAAAATTAATTTTCCCTGCTCACAAAAAAAAATAAAATCCTAATGTTTTTATAGGCCGAAAATGTAAACAAGAAATACAAGATACACTTCAAAATTGTTTTAGATTGTTTTTGCCCCATATACACTTCATAAATTGCCCAAAGTACCATACTTTGAGTATTTAGAAGGAATATTACTTTGACAGGTGATTTAATTTTATTTTTTCCCCCTCATGCCTTTAGGTTTTCTGAGGAAAAAATCTGTAAAACAAGGAATAATATTGGTCTGGCCTTACTGAAAAGTAAACTAAATCATTATCAGTTGTACCCCGGTAACTATGACAACACAATATTATGCAAATGACAACTGTGACGACAAACAAACAAATACTTTAAGGAAAAATAATACTGTCGAGGACATGAACACAAAGAATGTGGAGAACCTTATCTGGACATAGATTCAATTCCATCTAGATTCGGGTGTAACCAGGACAACAGTGGAGAAAGCAGAACTGATCAATCCAGTGGTTTGCTTCAAGAGTTTCACTGCTATCTGTCTGAGGAAATAACTAACAAATAATATGGTGCATCAAATGAATCATAACAGTGATATAGTTATGTCAGGGGCAGGCAAGTAAATTTAACTAATCTACACTTCAGTTTGGACTAGTTATAGCTGTAAGATACAACTGGCTGTCCCAGATGCAGAAAGAAGCCTACACATGGACAAGATGACACACTAATGACTATTCCACAATGTGTGGACTGCTTCCTTTATGCACTTTCTAGTGTTGTAATCTACAACCTAGTCACATGTGGAATAGCCTGCTCCAAGCATACAAGGGTGCCATTGTACAAAACAACCATAGTGCTATGACTACCTTAAGCAGGGGCGGATACAGCTTTTTGAGAAAGAGTGTGCACACTCTTGACAAAGGACGGGTTCACACGTCATTTTCATGAGAGTTTTAATGGTCATTTAATAAACTTTCAGGACAAAAAGGGGGTTGCGACCCTTGCACACACCCTATGGATGCACCTATGTTAAGTCTATGTTAAGGTATGGAAGTTACGGTCACCTTACATCCCTTTGTATAACGGCACCCAGGTTGGTACATCTGTGTATTTCTACTGAGTACATTTCAGCATGGGGTCCATATCTGCAGTAACAGTACTAATAAGGTTCTGGTACCGATCACAAAGCATTTGCAGTGTTACGACGTATTGTGACTCTGTAGTTTATCACAAGCTTACAAATGTCGTAGCACTGTGAGTGCTTTGTAGCGCTGGACCCTGAAGATATTAAACTGGAATTGAGCATGTGTCAAGGTCACCAATAGGTGTAAACCAAGAGTAAATACACAGGTGGAAATAATAATGTTGAAATAACGAAGTGGAAATGATGAAGGAAACAAATTGTTTCAGTTATTCCACATTATTCACTACAACTCAGTGGATAGTAGGATAAACATGTTCCTTAACAATTTGTATATTAGAGAATGTTCACAACATTGGCATAATATTGCACACAGAAAGTTTAAATACCACATGTTTTTTGACAAATCTCCCAAAATGCAACTTATATAATATTGTGCTTGAAATAATTTAAACACATTTTCTTATGCTCACAAATCTACAAACATCAAAACTAAACACATTTGTTGGAAGAACAGGTTGGTGAAACACACTGTATTGAGTGAGTGAGTGAATTGTTTCGGCAGATCCAACCCTAGCAACAGTGACACATGTCAAGCACGTTTAGCACAGCTGAAATCCACAAGCACACTATGGTGCTCTAACGGCTTATATCATATATAAACACTAAATAAAATAAATGAATGACTGATAAGCTGCCTGTTAATCATAAATATCAATCAATCACAAATTCTACTCGACTTTAAACAGTATTTCATATTTATGAAGGTCTATCAGCTTTATGTTGGTGGACGTGAATCAGATCATGGGTGTTTATCACTGAAACCCATGAGAACAGGTAGAATTGTAATCAAGGTGAACTGATTTGAACCCACAACCAGCATAGCAGCAGATCCTGGTGCCACTGAAGGACATAACTCTGGGCTGCAGGCTAACAAATTTCAGTGTTAACCAACATACCCTGTAGAACCCCATTTCACAAAAGTTCAAATCATAATCAGAAAGATATTTGGGGTTCAAACCTATGACCTGTCTCATAAAAGGGACACACCTCTGATTACCTCTAGCCCTCAATAAAACAAAACACTACTTATTATGCTACAGTGGATCATCTCTGGCCAATGCCTCCAACACTAATGTGAATTTTAAACCTGAAATATTTCAGAATTCTAAAAGTTATTCTGCAAATTTTCCATCCATTTTCCCCTGACAAATAAACAACTGTTTGAACATCCACAATTTAAGAATATTAGGAAATGATTGAGTGTGAGTGAGTGAGTTTAGTTTACCAATATTCCAGCAATATGACGGCGGAGAAACCAGAAATGGGCTTCACACATTGTACCCATGTGGGGAATCAAACCAGGGTCCTCGGCGTAATGAGCGAACGCTTTAACCACTATGCTACCCCACCACTCCATATTAAGAAATAATACGAGATTCCATACTTCTTGCACCATTACAAAATGAGGCACAAACTATGAAGATAAACAGAAAGAAGTTCTGTATCCTAAACTTACATGACAAGTTGCAAACAAACTCATTCTTCTGCACCTCCACAGCCGAACACCTCTATTTCATGATCCTATCACCAATATACTATGCATAACATAGACAAAAATGTCTTATATTATATATATCTTCAAATATATCTGCAAATCATAAAGTAAATATAACTGTCAGCATGGACATAAATTACACAATTCATGATTTCTTGGATCAAAATACCAAACCTAATTCCAAACTTTAAAGTTAATAGCTGATAAAATGAAAAATAGGGGAAAAAACAGGATAAAAAACCGTCCCCTCAATTAGTATATTTTTCATCAAAACCCTTACCACACCTCTCATTTCAAACAATTGGAATGATAAACAGAAATATTTCACAAATCCAATTCCTTATTAAAACAGAGCTGCCTTCCCACCCTTGCGGGAGTCTGAGTGGGCAAAAATTGCATCATTGACCTTGGCAACAGCTTGGACGACGCTGAGACCCTCACTGACCTTGACCATGTTGTGACCCATCTTCTTCATGTCGTCCACAACAGACACTAGGAACAATGCTGCAACAGAGATCACAATCACAAATATTTAATGAGAACTGTCCTCTAAGCTGTATCCTGGTACAGTGGGTGGGCAGCTATGGCTAAATGCTACTACAGGTTCGTAAAACTGCGAACATGATGCTGAAAAACCAAGGTTTAAAAGACGATGAGCACGGGTCATGTATCATGTTTTATCTCACAACTTATTACTGAAAGTAGTTTGTGTATGTGCACCAATCAGTGTGTGCATCAATGTGTCAATGTGCACCGATGTTGTGTCAATGTGCACCCGTGTGTCAATGTGCAACCGATGGTGCATCAATGTGCACCGATGGTGTGTCAATGTGCACTGATGGTGTGTCTTACCATCAACATAAGCTGGTAGGAACCTTACTACTCAATCTCTCCACAAATGAGAAAATTCATGATATGCAGGTACTCTTAAAAACAGTAGGACAACAATATCCTAATTCCAGAACCAGATTCTGAATATCACTTGAAACCATGACATCTATTTCTAACACAAACCATGCATGGAACTTGTTTACATAACAAATGTGGATGCTAAGGCAACAGGAGTTACCTCCCCTTCACACACTTGCTTGCTCACCCACACAACAAGCACTGAACATTAATCTCTACCAAAAGCCTTTTCAATCTACAAGCTTTAACTTGTGGTTTGGTATAACGTTTGCAGGTTGTATTTGGAACATGGTGGCTATCATCGACTTGGCTTACAAGATCAAAAGGAAGATCAGAGATTTCCGAATATTTACCAAGTTATCATCTTGAATCCTTGGCATCTGGATAGAAACATCATGAATACTTGGGCTACATACGGAACGGAACCAATATGAATCCATCAGCTCTATATAGCACAACCATGAATACCTGGACTCTGTATAGCATTGTATAGCAATCTTACCTTCATACTCTGTTCTGTTTGAATACAGATCGTCATATATCCTTGGTCTCTCAATAGAACGAGCTATATCCTGACCCATTCCAAATGCCATCACATTGGCAATTGTCTCAGCAACACCTGCAATCACAATCCACAATTAAATCCGATTATAACAAGTCAGCCAAACAATACACACTGGACACTCAGTTTCTCCAATGACAAAAGTATACATTGAAAAAGAGTCCCAAAATATATTTGGTCGTCTATCAAGTACCCATATTCCCTTTAAAATCTAGTACATTATGTGAAATATTTGAAAATCTCATATATAATGAAAATATAGTGTTTTTTGGTCTTAAGAATTGACTTGTTACTTGAGCTCTTACTTTTGGCAGTCGAAAGCCATCTTCATCAATATTCAACCAATATGGTCTCTTAAACAATTGAATCTTGACATGGCACTCCAGTGATTGATATTATGATACACTTTCAAAATAATTATGTGCACATTATCATAGCTACTGACAGTCCAACACAGTCCAACTGGGTGTACCTATTCTGATGTCAGCAAGTACGTTATGGCAACAAGAGTTATCCCCCTTCCTATGATCATGCTTAGACTCCCTGTTAAGACGACATTTTACCAGCCATAACATGGCCTTGCATTATTTCAACAAATTTTGATTTTAACATGTGGCCTGCCAAGCTTAAAAGAATGAATTATTTTACATCAACACTGGTATAATTAGTGGCTATTCATACCTGGAAATTCATTGCTTTTAGATGTCTCTTTTTTATCATGTAATTAATGGCTTTTTCCAAAGTAGTAAGATTGGTGTTTTTAGAAGTTTAAGACTCATGTTGTTTCTCTTCATGACAATTGAAATTGGTTTTGTAGTCATCTGTCAAAGGTTTAATAAATTTGTAACATCACATTTGTGAAAAGATATGCTAAACCAGGTAAGGAAATGTTCAGAGGACGTAATATGGTCCTTTTAATGAACTTGCTTTCTAACATCAAAATTTAAAATATTATATGAAAATTATTGATAATATTTTATGATTTTCATAAGCAGGAATTTCATATTTGTTGTTACTACTACTACTACTACTACTACTACTACTACTACTACTACTACTTAGTGGTGGTCCGATTTATTGAAATAATCGAAGATTGGTCGCAGTGACTAAACGACCAAGCAATCGATCATGTTTTCTCATAATCGAACACAAACAATTCTGGAACACTTGTTTTCATAAACAATATTGTTCACAAGGTTTGTTTTGTCTGTTACATTTCATAAGCACTACAGCTAGTTTCAAGTCATGATTGAATTTATCTTAAAGACTCCAAGAAATTTATGTTCCTGACATACTAGTCATCCTTTAAAGATGTGAAATTTTGCCAAAACACCCAAAAGAACTACATGTTTATTGATCGATTGTAAGGAACCAATCATCAATTATGAGATTATAACCAATTCCCAACACTACTACTACTACTACTACTACTACTACTACTACTACTACTACTACTACTACTACTACTACCACCATAATGCTGTGTGGCGTTCAACAACAAACAAACACTACTACCACTATGACTTGCCACCGCCACCCAGCTATCAGAGGTTTTAGGAGCCATCTATTAGTCTGCTAGTTCAATCACTGAATATAATTATTGTGATTTTTTAAGTGAATAGTTGTCTCCACCTGCAATGATCCTTCTTCCATTTGATCCACCGATAGCCATCCTTAGTGCACAGGGGTAGCCTGGGTTGTAGATGATAGTTGGCACCATGGAAGACAGAGGACGCTTTGGTTCGCCTGGCTCAAGAAAATTATTCTGCAAACAAATGTACACTTTCTGAGCTCTCTCTTCATAACACTCACGGACGAGTCACGGTTCAACTTCAGCAACTAAATTTTTTTTTTTTATTTTAATTTTTTTGTATATATATATTTTTTTATTGGTTGCCAAGATTACATTGTGAACTAAATTAAACCACAGGAAAGACCAAAGTGACACATGTTCAGGTTCAGAATATAAATCAAAAAGAGAGTGAATCTGGGAATTTTAACCCAATGGTTCCTCGCCAGTCTTTAGTGAGTGAGTGACGGAGTGAGTTTAGTTTTATGCCAAACTCAGCAATATTCCAGCTGTAGCTGTAAATAATCGAGTCTGGACCAGACAATCCCGAGATCAACAGCATGAGCATTGTTCTTTGATCTACGGAACTGGGATACGATAACATGTGTCAACCAAGTCAGTGAGCCTGACCACCCGATCCCGTTAGTCGCCTCTTACAACCTTGGGTTACAGAAGACTAATTCTAACCCGGATCTTCAGCAACTAAGTTATGCCACAGCTTCCGGTCACAGGAAAGACCAAAGTGATACAGTTTCATAGAGCTATCAGAATACAAATCAAATGAGAGTGATTCTGGGATTTTAAGCCAATGGTTCCTGGCCAGGCTTTAGAGCCACCTTTGGCTGAATGAAAGTGCAGAGTTAGTGAATGAATGAAGGAATGAGTGGGTCAGCACATTTGAAGGAATGAATAGGTGATTGAGTGAAGAAACTTGATAGGTGTGTTTGCGATTCATGGAAAAGCAGAAGCAGCGTCATCTATCATTGTATCTCGATAACTATTTCTGGTGTCCCCCGCAGTGATGTTGCTGGAATATTGCTAAAAGCGGCGTAAAATCCAAACTCAGTCAGTCAGTCTGGATAACTAAACAACAAAGATGCAGGCAGTTTTAGTTGAATGACCTCAACCATCAATTTCAGCCATTAACAGCTTAGAGATCATGTTTATAAAGTGACATCAAATTTCAGTAAGAAGTCCCAAGGAAATTTGTATACAAAGGTTTTCTGTGATGTCTATGTTGAGTTATGTTGACCTCTTACATGATTCTGTCACATGTGAGAACATTACTTGTTACAAGCTATAGCTGTCTTAGATTATGAGGGGCGGTGGGGTAGCCTAGTGGTTAAAGCGTTCGGTCGTCACGCCGAAGACCCGGGTTCGATTCCCCACATGGGTACAATTTGTGAAGCCCATTTCTGGTGTCCCCCGCCGTGATATTGCTGGAATATTGCTAAAAAGCGGCGTAAAACCATACTCACTCACTCACTCACTTAAATTATGAAGTCTCCACAGAGTGCCAACAATACTCCTCGGAACTGATTACAAGACATTCACAAGGGACAATTTCACACAATCATCATACATTGAGTTAGTGACCTCAAGTGCACCTTAACTGACTCCAAAACTTTTAATGTTCATGTATTTATCTTAAGCCACAAAGGAATTGAACAGGATTGTTGAGTGACTGTTTTCATAGCTGGGCAAGACTGACTGACTGAGTTTGGTTTTACGCCGCTTTTAGCAATATTCCAGCAACATCACGGAGGGGACACCAGAAATGGGCTTCACACATTTTACCCATGTGGGGATTTGAAACCCGGTCTTCGGCGTGACGAGCCAACGCTTTAACCACTAGGCTACCCCACCGCCCCAGCTGGGCAAGACCTCGAATCCCTTAGAGATAGTCATGTCTTCTAGTATACAATACCAGACACACTCAGAGACAACATGGTTCCTGTGTCTGAGAGTGAGTCATTTGATCATGTAACTCACACTACTGCTGACATCGTAACTTACCTTATTTGGAGGAAGGTCCTTGATACGAGTGAAGTTGGGGAAGGAAAAGTCAGCCATTTCATTGTTCAGTAAAATACCCGTTGTTGTAGTGACCTTCGACCCAAAGAATTCGTTGATTGTCCTTGAACATATCAAAATCATTAACATTTCATTTGTAATTCTTGCATTTGGTTGTTCAATACTATATATTTGGGGTCTTTTTACATACTCACTGTAAGATCTGCCACATGTTCACAGAGATTTAAACACATTCATTACAGAAAATTTCGAATTTCCTTTTCATCATTATAATATGGCCAGACTTCACTTTCTCATCTTCTGATGCCAATGTATGGGAGAGTCTGGACCAGACAATCCAGTGATCAACAGCATGAGCATCAATCTATGCAACTGGGATACGATGACATGTGTCAACCAAGTCAGCGTTCCTTACCACCTGATCCCGTTAGTCACCTCTTACATCAAGCATGGGTTACAGATGATGAATTCTAACCCAGATCTTTACAGGGTCGCCTTATACATGGAGTCGCCTTATACATGGGGTCGCCTTATACATGGAATGGGGGATGCCTTATACATGGAGTTGCCTTATACATGGAGTGGGGGATGCCTTATACATGGGGTTGCATTATACATGGAGTGGGGGATGCCTTATACATGGGGTTGCATTATACATGGAGTGGGGGATGCCTTATACATGGGGTTGCATTATACATGGAGTGGGGATGCCTTATACATGCATGATACATGGAGTCAGCATATGGGGGGTCGCCTTATACATGGAGTGGGGGATGCCTTATACATGGGGTTGCATTATACATGGAGTGGGGATGCCTTATACATGGGGTTATACATGGAGTCACCTTATACATGGGGTTATACATGGAGTGGGGGATGCCTTATACATGGGTCTTATACATGGGGCCTTATACATGGGGTTGCATTTATACATGGGGTTGCATTATACATTTATACATGGGGTCGCCCATACATGGGGTCGCCTTATACATGGGGGGTCGCCTTATACATGTGAGTGGGCCTGCATACTTATACATGGGGTCGCCTTATACATGGGGTCATGGGGGCCTTATACATGGGGTCAGCCCTTTATACATGGGGTCGCCTTATACATGGAGGGGGTCGCCTTATACATGGGGGTGGGGATCGCCTTTTATACATGGGGTCGCCTTATACATGGGTGGATGCCTTATACATGGGGTCAGCCTTATACATGGGGGTGCCTATATACATGGAGTGGGGATGCCTTATACATGTAAGCCTTATACATGGGGGTCGCCTTATACATGGGGTCATTTATACATGGAGTGGGGATGCCTTATACATGGGGTCGCCTTATACATGGAGTGGGGGATGCCTTATACATGGGGTCGCCTTATACATGGAGTGGGGGATGCCTTATACATGGGGTCGCCTTATACATGGAGTGGGGGATGCCTTATACATGGGGTCGCCTTATACATGGAGTGGGGATGCCCTTATACATGGGGTCGCCTTATACATGGAGTGGGGGATGCCTTATACATGGGGTGCCTTATACATGGGTGGGGATGCCTTATACATGGAGTGGGGATGGATGCCTTATACATGGGGTCGCCTTATACATGGAGTGGGGGTTGCCTTATACATGGGGGATGCTTATATACATGGGGTGGGGGATGCCTTTATACATGGCCTTATACATGGAGTGGGGCCGACATGCCTTATACATGGGGTCGCCTTATATATATGGGGTTACCTTATACATGGGGTCGGGGTCTGCCCATCGCCATATACATGGGGTGCATTATACATGGGGTCGCCTTATACATACGGGGGTCACCTTATACAGCCTTATATGTGGGGTCGCCTTTATACATGGGGGGAGTGGGGGGTCGCCTTATACATGGGGTCGCCTTATACATGGAGTGGGGGATGCCTTTACATGGATGGGGGTCATATATGGGTTGCCTTATACATGGGGTTGCCTTATACATGGAGTCGGGGACCCCTTATACATGGGGTCACCTTATACATGGTGTCGCATTATATATGGGGTTGCATTATACATGGGGTTGCCTTATACATGGGGTCTTATTACGGGGTCGCCTTTTATACATGGGGTAAGCCTTATACATGGGGTCGCCTTTATACATGGGGTCGTCTTTATATATGGGATTCGCCTTATACATGGGGTTGCCTTATGGGTTGCTCTTATATGGAGTCGGGACGCCTTTATACATGGGGTCACCTTATACATGGTGTCGCATTATATATGGGGTTGCATTATACATGGGGTTGCCTTACACATGGGGTCGCCTTATATATGGGGTTGCATTATACATGGGGTCGCCTTATACATGGGTCACCTTATACATGGGGTCACCTTATACATGGGGTCACCTTATACATGGGGTCGCCTTATATATGGGGTTGCCTTATACATGGGGTCGCCTTATACATGGGGTTGCCTTATACATGGGTCACCTTATACATGGGGTCACCTTATACATGGGGTCACCTTATACATGGGGTTGCCTTATACATGGGGTCGCCTTACACATGGGGTCGCCTTATACATGGAGTCGGGGATGCCTTATACATGGGGTCACCTTATACATGGGGTCACCTTATACATGGGTCACCTTATACATGGGGTCGCCTTACACATAGGGTCGGGGACGCCTTATACATGGGGTCGCCTTATACATGGGGTCGGGGATCTTTATACATGGGGTCGGGGATCTTTATACATGGGGTCGCCTTATACATGGGGTCGCCTTATACATGGGGGTCGCCTTATATATGGGGTTGCCTTATACATGGGTTGCCTTATACATGGAGTCGGGGACGCCTTATACATGGGGTCACCTTATACATGGTGTCGCATTATATATGGGGTTGCATTATACATGGGGTCGCTTAGCCTTATACATGGGGTCAGCCTTATACATGGGTCACCTTATACATGGAGTCATACATGGGGTTGCCTTATACATGGGGTCGGGGAGCCTTATACATGAGGTCGCCTTATACATGGAGTCGCCTTATACATGGGTCACCTTATACATGAGGTCGCCTTATACAGAGTGATATAAAATACTCACGATGTAACGGAGACCATGAGTTCTGATGTGTCCACAACAGATAGATGCGTTGTGCCTTTGTTCACCTCCGGAGCATACAGAGGATGGTAGTGGGATATTGGGTGGGTTTCATTGTCAACAAGATTGGCCAGCTCAATGGCATATTTTTTTCTGTAAAACAAGTTATAAAAACATTACGAACAGAAAAAATATTTTTTATACAAAATATCAAACAAACTACTATTTTAGTCCTTCAGTTTGTAAAACCTCATGCTCGTTAAGGGATATCATTGTTTCTGATTCAGATATAATTAAATCAAGCTGTAGTACAAAAACTATGCTTACGCAATAATATTCAAGGAAGTGTTCCTCATATTTGGAACAAAGTCGGGATCTCCCAGTAGACCTTGGTGGGCATAGGAGTATTTAAATATCTGAAAAACAAGTTGAACCATTGCACTACAACTGTGTTGGACACTGTCCTTGCATGATGAGATAAGTGTGAATGTCAAGGAGGAGATATTTTACTTAGTTTATAATATGTCCTTATGATATTCATGAGCAAAGATTGACTGATTGATTGACCAATTGATTGATTGACCGATTGATTGATTGATTGATTGATATTTAACACCACACTCAGCAATATTCAAGCTATATGGCGGCTGTGTGAAAACAATCGGGTCTGGACCAGACAATCCTGTGATCAACAGCATGAGCATCGTACCATGCAATTGGGATACAATCTGCATGTGTCTATACCACACTGTATCTCTGACATGTTGTGGTAGGACGGTGTATATCATAGTATATCATCTACACGTGTCTATACCACACTGTACCTCTGTCATTTTGTGGTAGGTCGGTGTATATCATGGTATATCATCTACATGTGTCTATACCACACTGTACCTCTGTCATGTTGTGGTAGGTCGGTGTATATCATAGTATATCATCTACATGTGTCTATACCACACTGTACCTCTGTCATGTTGTGGTAGGTCGGTGTATATCATCTACACGTGTCTATACCACACTGTACCTCTGACATGTTGTGGTAGGACGGTGTATTTAATCGTGGTATATCATCTGCATGTGTCTATACTACACTGTATCTCTATCATGTTGTGGTAGGTCGGTGTATATCATGATATATCATCTACATGTGTCTATACCACACTGTACCTCTGTCATGTTGTGGTAGGTCGGTGTATATCATCTGCATGTGTCTATACCACACCGTACCTCTGACATGTTGTGGTAGGTCGGTGTATATCATCCACATGTGTCTATACCACACTGTACCTCTGTCATGTTGTGGTAGGTCGGTGTATATCATGATATATCATCTACATGTGTCTATACCACACTGTACTCTGTCATGTTGTGGTAGGTCGGTGTATATCATGGTATATCATCTGCATGTGTCTATACCACACTGTACCTCTGTCATGTTGTGGTAGGTCGGTGTATGTTGTATATCATCTGTGTCTATACCACACTGTACCTCTGTCATGTTGTAGGTCGGTATATCGGTGTATATCATCTGCATGTGTCTATACCACACTGTACCTCTGTCATGTTGTGGTCGGTGTATATCATTGAATTGTGTCTATACCACACTGTACCTCTGTCATGTTGTGGTAGGTCGGTGTATATCATGGTATATCATCTGCATGTGTCTATACCACACTGTACCTCTGTCATGTTGTGGTAGGTCGGTGTATATCATCTGCATGTGTCTATACCACACTGTACCTCTGTCATGTTGTGGTAGGATGGTGTATATCATCTGCATGTGTCTATACCACACTGTACCTCTGTCATGTTGTGGTACGTTGATGCATCGCTGATGTTGGCCTGGGTCCAGTTAAACCTCTCCATCATGTTCAACATGAGCAGCAGTATCGGCCCCGACGTGGGCGCAGGCAGCGTCACCACTGTGCTTCCTGTAACAACATAGTTACTGTTAGAGATAATTCCATCAGAATGACTTTTCGGCAGACTAAAACTTTATTTGTTTCACCCAGTATCCTCTCCTCCCTCCCAGATTTGAAGACACGAATACACAACCAACAGACCTGAATGGCATAGTGACACATAGAGATTACCATGAGTTAGTGCCGTGTTGGCTTTAGTATTGTAATTTCTGAAAAGTGGACTGGAATGTGTTCAACATAAACATACATAGATATGTGTAGTTGTGGGAAGTTGCATAATAAGACGCTGTTATATGAGCTGACAGAGTTGCATCACATGACAGAGTTGCTGCATCACATGACAGAGTTGCATCACATGACAGAGTTGTTTGCATAAGATGACTGTTGGATGAGTGTTAAAGGGGATGGTTGAGGTTAGCTTGAAACAATCTCAATAATCCCCGCTGCAAATTATCAAATCAAACTTATAAAGTAATGAAAGTTTAAGATGAAGTTAAATGTCAACCAAAACATGACCAGTCAACCTCTCTTGATATCTACCTCTTTAGTTGTTCAAACACACAAATATTTTCAAGACTGACTTTGACCTTGACATGAATGTCAGAGTGCATGAAATATGCAATAATGGTACTAAAGAAGGGAAGTCTTGAAAGTCTATGAAGAAAATCCAGTGAATTCAGGTTAACCTGCTGAAATCTTCAAAGTGTCGCAGTGACCTGGTGAAGGACCAAAATTGACTGGACCCTGCGCCTTCATTAGATGAAGCTTGGTGTCAAACATGAAAAAATCCAGTGAATGTTTATTGCGATATCTTGCTGACTATCTTAACATGCAATTTAACATGCTGAAATCTTCAAAGTGTTGCAATGACCTTGAAAATTATGTGAAGGTCACCAAACTGACTGGGCCCTGCGCCTTCCCTAGATAAAGCTTGGTGTTGAATATGAAGAAAATCTAGTGAACGGTTCTTGAGATAACTCGCTGACAAGAATAAAACGCTAAAGTCCCCTTGTGACCTTGAAATGAAGGTTATGGTCACCAAACCTGACTGGGACCTTTCTTATACTGTAGGGGCGGTGGGGTAGACAGGTGGTTAAAGCGTTCGCTCGTCACGCCGAAGACCCGGGTTCGAATCCCCACATGGGCACAATGTGTGAAGCCCATTTCTGGTGTCCCCCGCCGTGATATTGCTGGAATATTGCTCAAAGCAGCGTAAAACCATACTCACTCACTCACTCATGCTTATACTGTAATGAACCTAGATACCAAATATGAAAAGAATCTAGTCAACGATTCTTAAGATATTCCAATCCGTACGTACGTACAGACGGACGGAGCCTAATACTATATGCCCCCGCTTCACTCTAAACGCGCGGCGGGGGATAATAAGTGTTAAATGAGATGGCAGTGTTTCATGGGACAACAGTGTTAATTGAAACAACAGTGTTACATGGAATGACAGTGCTATATGAGACTACAGTGTTGCATGAGATGACACTGTTACATGTGACAAGTGTTACATGAGATGACAGTGTTACATGTGACAAGTGTTACATGTGACAAGTGTTACATGAGATGACAGTGTTACATGTGACAAGTGTTACATGAGATGACAGTGTTACATGTGACAAGTGTTACATGAGATGACAGTGTTACATGTGACAAGTGTTACATGAGATGACAGTGTTACATGTGACAAGTGTTACATGAGATGACAGTGTTACATGAGATGACAGTGTTACATATGACAGTGTTACATGTGATGACAGTGTTACATGTGACAAGTCTTACATTACATGAGAGTGTTACAGTGTTGACATGTGTTACATGTGACAAGTGTTACATGAGATGACAGTGTTACATGTGACAAGTGTTAAGTGTTACATGAGATGACAGTGTTACATGTGACAAGTGTTACATGAGGTGACAGTGTTACATGTGACAAGTGTTACATGAGGTGACAGTGTTACATGTGACAAGTGTTACATGAGGTGATGACAGTCAGTGTTACATGAGATGACAGTGTTACACAGCGTTACATGTGACAAGTGTTACATGAGATGACAGTGTTACATGTGACAAGTGTTACATGATGACACTGTTACATGTGACAAGTGTTACATGAGATGACAGTGTTACATGTGACAAGTGTTACATGAGATGACAGTGTTACATGTGACAAGTGTTACATGAGGTGACAGTGTTACATAAGAAGACAGTGTAGCCATGTGGTGTAGTTACCTCTGAAGGAGGTCGTCAGGACCTGTCTCTTCATCACCTGGTAGTTGACCATGTCAGCCATGGTCATCACTCCGCCATGAGCCTTCACCTGCAACAAGAGTAGGCTGTGTCTTTGTAGGTGGTGATGCTTTTAGATCATTCATTACTTTTTATATCAAGAAGAGTGATCTGTCAAGTGTTGACATTGTGTGTCTCAGAAGTTTCGATAATGGTAAATGTTGCATTATTGAATGATGAACCTAAATGCTATAATATCGAATTATCATTAAATGCATCATTAATACAAATAATCAAACACCATTAGATTGTTCATTCAAATTTAGTTCTGAGAAGCTAACTCAAAAGATTGGATACACATTCTTGACCTACCCCGATATACCTTACTGTTATTCATAATTTAAGTGGTAATATAGAATAAATGGCCCAGTACAAAACTGCTACAAGTTAGGTATGTGCATGTGCACATATGTAAACTTTCATTTATAAATAAATATCATTAATATTATCATATTATTTATTTTGTTATTATGAAGTTATTATGGTTTGAGTGCTTACAGCCTTGACGATAGATTTTGCAATTTCTCCCTTGTAGAATTCGTCAGCACCCTTCTCTGCTATGGCATCCAGAGTGTTAGCTAGGTCCGGTCTCACGATGAACGTTCCCTCAGTCACAAACTGATTGTTTCTCACATACAGCTGTCCCAGTAGTGTCCCTTTAAAGTCATCGACCTTGAACTTGTGTTTCAGCGTGTTAGCTGTGAGGGAATGACGGTGAATGTCATTTGTTGTCATGTGTCCAAAAATAATGTATCCCGAAACATACTGAGTATACAGTTTCAAATGCATGGACATCTTCCTGAGGCAAAAGCGTATACTAACCTACATCAAAGCCAACTTTCTACCATTGCTGTTTCACGATTCCTTTTCTGGCCTTATAGTGGCCCAACTCACCATAGAACACAAATTGTGTGTCAAGTTATGAAAATGCGACATCCACTCAGACTGCTTTTCATAAAGAGGACTACCATAGCAGGTAAATCAGATAACAAAAATAATTTCAATAATTTCACTCCCTTCAGACAAACAAAATAACAGATAACCACAGTAAAGATACTGATTACTGCTACAACCCATTCTTTCAAAAACGGGGCCGTGGGGTAGCCTAATGGTTAAAGCGTTGGCTCGTCACGCTGAAGACCCGGGTTCGAATCCCCACATGGGTACAATGTGTGAAGCCCATTTCTGGTCTCCCCCGCCGTGATGTTGCTGGAATATTGCTAAAAGAGGCGTAAAACCAAACTCAGTCAGTCAGTCTTTCAAAAACAGAGGCATGTGGATTAGTGAGACTACACACTACACCGTATCCAAGACATACATCTTTCACAGTAGCAAGTGACACTGCTTCAGCCTCCATGCTGTAGTAGGGGGGGGGTAGTAGGTTAGGGGAGTGGGTGGTGGGTGGTAGTGGTGTCTAAAAATTAGCACTGCGTTTCAGTCATTGTGATGAGCATTCAGTTGTTTGACAGTGAACAGTGAAGTTTGCACTCAAATATATGAGCTTGAGCAACATTGAAAGAACATTGATACTAACTTGGCTAATGGAACTATTGACATGTCTGTTACAGCCAATTCATACCTAAGCTAAGAAAAATAGGCTTGAATGGTAAGTGTGCAAACTTTACTTTGAAATTCAGGTAAAGTCTGTATTGGCTGCAAAAGATGAAGTTTGACATTTCATAATAAAACTCAGTGATGAAACTCATCCCTACTATCAGCACCTACCCATATCGGGTGACGTTGAATCCTTTCCTTGCAAGGTCAGCAGCTGGCAGCACTACCTCACTCCAGGTCAACCTAAGGGAACAAAGTGTCGTAAAGTGTCGCAGAGATATTCACTGAGGTGATCTTCTCTGTGTCATCAACTAGGGGCACATGGATGACAGATCAAGTAAGAAGAAGCCATATCATCACTTTCTTCAAGAACACCATGAAACTATTACACTGAAACAACTGCATGACTCAAGGTAGCTCGCAATCAACAAGTCAATAAGCCTGACAACCTGATCCAATTGGCGCCTCTTACGACTTGCTGGCAGTGGGGTAGTCTAGTGGTTAAAGCATTTGCTCGTCACGCCGAAGTCCCAGGTTTGTTTCCCCAGATGGGTACAATGCGTGAAGCCCATTTCTGGTGTTCTCTACTGTTATATTGCAGGAATATTGCTAACAGCGGCATAAAACTAAACTCACTCACTCACTATTTATGACCATGACAGCTACCATGAGACAGTGTGACCGCCTCCGTGGTGTAGTGGTTAGAGTGTCCGCCCGGAGAGCGGAAGGTCACGGGTTTGATCCCCGACCGCGTCATACCAAAAGACGTTAAAATAGGGTACTTGTTGGTCCCTGCCTGGCGCTCGGCATTAATGGGTACAACAAGGACTGGTCGGCTCGGAGTCAGTATAATGTGTCTGAGTGGCATATTGATGCTTCACTGCGACATGGTATCTCAGTGGGCTAGCACTATAAAACCAGCTTAAGTCTGGGCTAGTACAAGCAGCCGCACATACACATACACACACATGCACGTCGTCATATGAGCGAAATATTTTCAAGCACGACGTTAAACCCAATTTCACCTCACCTCACCATGAGACAGTGAGCACTTCATTGATTTGATTTTCCATAAGAATCATAATTCTTTAAATTCTCAATAAAGCATAACAGGCTTGCATGTATTCCAAACAAGCAATTTCAAGACACTTAACAGTCAGCTCAGTTACAGCTCCAACAGTCAAACTTAAACATCTGAAACTGCCCATGGAACAATTCCAATGCAAAAATGTAATAATATGTAGCATAGGAATGGAACAATTCTATGCAAAAATGTAATTATATGTAGCATAAAATATCAAAATTATTTTTCTTTATGAATATTAACCATGTTAACTGGCATTTGTGAAAATTGCAAAAACTAGCTGTATGTAACTCTCAGTGATGTGATGCAGAGTATTAAGTTTCGTGTTGTCATGTTGTCCGTAACCATTACTTCTGCTCAAAATCTTTGTGGGCCATCTCCAGACCCCGGAGTTCTCCCGGGACAGCCACAGACCTGCCGCCCTGTAACCAACACAGTACATCATCAACATATCTTGCTTGTCTGTGGTTTAACACTGCATACCATTCCATCTATAGGACAACAGTTATATGGCATCTGTGCTACAGACCTGCGCCCTACCTGCAACCAACACATTACATCATCAACATATCCTGCTTGTCTGTGGTTTAACACTGCATACTATTCCATCTATAGGGACAACAGTTATATGGCATCTGTGCCACAGACCTGCCACCCTGCAACCAACACAGTACATCATCAACATATCCTGCTTGTCTGTGGTTTAACACTGCATACTATTCCATCTATAGGACAACAGTTATATGGCATCTGTGCCACAGACCTGCCGCCCTGCAACCAACACAGTACATCATCAACATATCCTGCTTGTCTGTGGTTTAACACTGCATAATATTCCATCTATAGGACAACAGTTATATGGCACCTGTGCCACAGACCTGCCAGCTACTGCAACCAACACAGTACATCATCAACATATGCTTGTCTGTGGTTTAACACTGCATAATATTCCATCTATAGGACAACAGTCATATGGCACCTGTGCCACAGACCTGCCGCCCTGCAACCAACACAGTACATCATCAACATATCCTGCTTGTCTGTGGTTTAACACTGCATACTATTCCATCTATAGGACAACAGTTATATGGCATCTGTGCCACAGACCTGCCACCCTGTAACCAACACAGTACATCATCAACATATCCTGCTTGTCTGTGGTTTAACACTGCATACTATTCCATCTATAGGACAACAGTTATATGGCATCTGTGCCACAGACCTGCCGCCCTGTAACCAACACAGTACATCATCAACATATCCTGCTTGTCTGTGGTTTAACACTGCATACTATTCCATCTATAGGACAACAGTTATATGGCATCTGGTGCATACTGCAGCCCTGTAACCAACACAGACCTGCTTGTCCTGGTTTAACACTGCATACTATTCCATCTATAGGACAACAGTACATCACCGACCGCCGCCTGCAACCAACACACAGTACATCATCAACATATCCTGCTTGTCTGTGGTTTAACACTGCATACTATTCCATCTATAGGACAACAGTTATATGGCATCTGTGCCACAGACCTGCCGCCCTGTAACCAACACAGTACATCATCAACATATCCTGCTTGTCTGTGGTTTAACACTGCATACTATTCCATCTATAGGACAACAGTCATATGGCATCTGTGCCACAGACCTGCCGCCCTGTAACCAACACAGTACATCATCAACATATCCTGCTTGTCTGTGGTTTAACACTGCATACTATTCCATCTATAGGACAACAGTTATATGGCATCTGTGCCACAGACCTGCCGCCCTGCAACCAACACAGTACATCATCAACATATCCTGCTTGTCTGTGGTTTAACACTGCATACTATTCCATCTATAGGACAACAGTCATATGGCATCTGTGCCACAGACCTGCCGCCCTGCAACCAACACAGTACATCATCAACATATCCTGCTTGTCTGTGGTTTAACACTGCATACTATTCCATCTATAGGACAACAGTTATATGGCATCTGTGCCACAGACCTGCCGCCCTGTAACCAACACAGTACATCATCAACATATCCTGCTTGTCTGTGGTTTAACACTGCATACTATTCCATCTATAGGACAACAGTTATATGGCATCTGTGCACAGACCTGCCGCCCTGTAACCAACACAGTACAACAACAACACAGTACATCATCAACATATCCTGCTTGTCTGTGGTTTAACACTGCATACTATTCCATCTATAGGACAACAGTTATATGGCATCTGTGCCACAGACCTGCCGCCCTGCAACCAACACAGTACATCATCAACATATCCTGCTTGTCTGTGGTTTAACACTGCATACTATTCCATCTATAGGACAACAGTTATATGGCATCTGTGCCACAGACCTGCGCATACCTGCAACCAACACAGTACATCATCAACATATCCTGCTTGTCTGTGGTTTACACACTGCATACTATTCCATCTATAGGACAACAGTTATATGGCATCTGTGCCACAGAGACCTGCCGCGTCTGGTAACCAACACAGTACATCATCAACATATCCTGCTTGTCTGTGGTTTAACACTGCATACTATTCCATCTATAGGACAACAGTCATATGGCATCTGTGCCACAGACCTCCATCTATAGGGACAACAGTCATATGGCATCTGTGCAGCACCTGTACCCCTGGTCAGAGAATGGTCCATGTCATAAAATCCTCGAAGCTCAATGTGGTACAGAGAGGTGGAACCATGCCCACTGGGAGAACTGACCGCTGACCGAACCGAGCACGCTCACTGGAGAGTCTGTCAAGTTGGTAATGACGGATGAGCGCTCTTTCGGTCAGCTCAAATAGCCGCCGGAGCAGATCTCCTCAATGGGCAGGGCTGCAATGCTCGATAGCAAACTGCGCAAACCCGAACCGGAATGAGCTTTCAAACCTACAGGCGGGATACGCCCTGTGTGAGTATAGCTCATATGTATGGCAGAGACATGCCACCGAGAAATGGTTTGCTTGGTCGCCGGAAGACCAGCCTTGACCCCGCCATAACAACAAAACAATTGGTTATCCTTACGGATACCCCTTGTTCGCGAATTAATGATATAAGCCTTAAAGGGGAAGTGTACACGAATAAATCACATTTATTCTTCTGTGAATCAAAGTGAACTGTTTTAATTAGTTAATACCAATGTTTGAAAATATACACTCATTTTTCTTACAATGTAAGTATAACCCTCAAAATAAGTGCTGAAATGTTATGCCAATATGAAGCCTTTGTTTGCCGAGCTAAACAGGCGAGGGTTACCGCCCTTTGATTATGACGTAATTGGTGCCACTTGATTTTAAACTGGTCTACTGTCTAGTCCCAAGTCAAAAGATAATAATACTGAAATTAATCACATGAAAAAAGTTTGTGAAAATTCGAAAGAAGCATAAGAACAGAAAATGTAAGCAGCAGGACAGATTGATCGTGTTTGTTTTCATTCATAACCTCACCTCAATGAAAATACCAAATATGTATAACAATGTTGATGTGCGTATGACATCACTATCGGGAAGCGACTTTTTCAAAATGGCGTGTTCACTGACACGGGTACGCCGGAGTTGTCAAAGAAATTTTCGTTGTTTCAAGCAATGTATATGCATAAATGTGACATGTAAGTAGTCCGAAAATTCTGTCAGTCTGCTGGTTGTTATTTTCTTCTTGTTTTCATTGTGACCAAGGGAAATAGTCAGAAATTAAGAGAAGTACCGTCATCGTTGTGCGGAGTTTGCGTCAGTCATGGCGTCATGCTTTCAGAAACTATAATATGTTGTGATGAATCTAGAAAATCATGGGAATACACCTATTTTATTTAACTATAAGCTTGCTACAATACCTTTCCCATGCATGTTCTAAAATAATGAGCAAGTGTATGCAACAAGTAGGGGACCGGATACACAGTGTAAAATCTGAGATTGGCTTTGTTTACATTTCAAACAAGTGGTCCTTTCCCAGCGCGGCATCTGATATATTTCGTTTGATTTCACTGAAACACTTAGAATTGGTGACAAAGTCCATTTGTCAGTTTATTTTGAACTGTATGAAAAATTCAGGGATTCGTGTCAGGAAGATGGTGTTGAACTATATACAATTGGTTTTATGGGCTTAAATATAGCCGACATACATGTGGCGTGATTTTATAAACACTCTGTAAAATGTATTGAAAATTAATTGTGTTTGCAAGCGTATTTTCCAAAATATTCTCAGCGATTCTCGGTTCATCTACAATGTTTCAGAACGAGCATTAGTGATTTGATCACACAACAACAAAACTACCGCTGATCACAATGATAGGTCTTTTCTTTTAAATTCAATTTTCCCAGTAAATTTGACATTTGAATTAAGACACATAAAAGCAGTGAATGGTGATGTAGTAATGTGTCAAAACTGGCGAGATTTACGATGCATGTAATTTTCAGTATATTTGATCTACAATGAGCGGATGATATACAAAAACGAATTTCAAACAGAGTTCAAAAGTGCAAATTGCATTTATTTTCGTGATATGTGGATGGATATGGTATCGATATCAAAGTGAAAGTGGAAGAGGAGGGACATATTGTAATTTTAGTAACAAACGTAGAATGCCGGCACATTCGCCGATGGCAAGCTAGATGTAGTGCACATTTTAGTTTTTGTGAAAAAAGATACCGTTGAAAAGGCGACCAACACTGGTTGAATGTTATACAATTTGGTTACGTGGTAACACATTTAGTACAATGTATACATTTTTTCAAAATGCAACGTAATTACAGTGTAGAACTGATGACATAGCCAGCTGACGGCCAGGCAACAGGTGGATTAAAACAGTAGCCTGCGCATCGAGACACAAAAACCGCACCTATACCTGCACCACGTGAAATGGGTCTAATAAGGTCTAACGATGTCATTCGTTTATCATTTGGGCACCAATGACGTCATTTCCAAGGGACATAAGCCATGGTGTGTTTATTGTGGACACAGAACTCTCGGTAAATGTTGAAAATATGAATTGATATAACGCAAAATGTAATTTTTAGAGTAAAATTGATATTTTATACTTATCCTGACTCATGCTCTTTTGCTTGTCTTCTTCTTCTTGCGAACATAGTGGAACACTTGTATCTCCTTATTTGAAGCTCCCTTCAAAATAAAATCACTAATTGGTACTCACCACGAGTTGCTCCCCTTTGTCTCCCCTGGCGGGAAAAGGTGTCGCCACCCTCTGGCCATGTGCTCCACTCTCTCCTGATTTAGCGAGCCCAACACTTGAATTTACAGGGAAATCCAAAGTGTTATGTGGGGAGGATGGGAGGGCTAACCTCATGAGTCAGGATAAGTATAAAATATCAATTTTACTCTAAAAATTACATATTTTTCCTTATCCTGACTCATGCTCTCTTGTTTGTAGCATCCTCACGGAACGGAGGTGGGTAACAGA